TACTTTCTCACATTTATAGTGTCACTACTGTATGAAACTTCACAAAATGAGACTTCAAAAATTCCATTAGTTCAGAAAAAGCCTTGCAGAGATTCCCTTACTCCTTACATTTATATGTTGTCCCTTGTGTGAATTTTCACGTGTCTTCGAAAGTAGGCTGGACAAATAAAGGCTTTCCCACATTCCTTACATTCATATGGTTTCTCTCCAGTATGGCTTCTCACATGTCTCCGAAAGGATGAGGGACAACTGAAAGCTTTTCCACACTCCAGACATTCAAAGGGTTTTTCTCCAGTGTGCATTCTTGCATGTACAGTAAGGTATGAAGAATGTCGAAATGCCTTCCCACATTCCTTACATTCATAGGGTTTTTCCCCAGTGTGGGTTCTCATGTGGATACTAAGGGCTGAGAAATAAATAAAGGCTTTCCCACATTTTTTACATTCATAAGGTTTCTCTCCAGTGTGAGTTCTTCTATGTACTGTAAGATGGGAAGAACTAATGAAAGCTTTCCCACATTCCTTACACTCATAAGGCTTTTCTCCACTGTGAGTTCTTAGGTGTTCAGTGAGGGATGAGGAACGACTAAAGGCCTTCCCACACTCCTTACATTCATATTGCACCTTACCATTGTGATCTCTCATGTGTGCTTTAAAGGATGAGGGACAACTGAAGGCCTTCCCACATTCCTTACATTCATAGGGTTTCTCTCTACTTTGATTTTTCACATGTGTGTTCAGGGAAGTGGGAAGATAGAAGGCTTTTCCACATTCCAGACATTCATAAGGTTTCTCTCCAGTGTGTTTTCTCATGTGGATACTTAAGGAGGAGGGACAATTGTAGGCTTTCCCACATTCCTTACATTTATAGGGTTTCTCTCCGGTGTGTGTCCTCACATGTACAGTGAGTTTTGAGGATTCACTGAAGGCCTTCCCACATTCTTTACATTCATAAGGCTTCTCTCCTGTGTGAATTCTTATATGTATTATAAGATGAGAGGAAGAGGTAAAGGCCTTCCCACATTCCTTACATTCATACGGCTTATCTCCACTATGAATTCTTTTGTGTTTGGAGAGTGATGAGGAACAACTAAAGGCCTTTCCACATTCCTTACATTCATAGGGCTTATCTCCACTGTGAATTCTTTTGTGTTCTGTGAGGTATGAAGAGCTACTGAAGGTTTTCCCACATTCCTTACATTCATAGTTTGCCTTTTCACTATGAATTTTCATATGTGCTCTGAACATGGAGGAACAACTGAAAGCCTTTATACATTCCTTACATTCATATGGTTTTTCTTCAGTAGGAGTTTTCATATGCTTCTTAAAACAAGAAAGAAAATGGAAGGCTTTCCCACATTCCTTACACTGATAGGGTTTGTTTCCAGCATGAGATCTGGTGTGATTCTTAAGTGATGAATGAAACAGGAAGGACT